TTTCCCACCCCTATTCTTTCCTGTACAGGGAACATGTTGGGAAAAAGAAATCTGGTAAGAATATTTTCCATTTTCTCCTACTCATTCGATGTTTAGCATACCCCTACTGAGCGATGTCCAGGCCCTGGGCACTACATGCGGGATACAGTGATGTGGATGGATGGATGGATGGATGGGTGGATGGATGGATGGATGGATTCTGAAAGACATTCGGGGCTGAGGGGACGGCGTGCAGGCTGGGAGGTGCAAGCATACAGTCAATTTGGGCCTGATCCATTTGCCAGCCTCGGCACCAGTCCTGGCTCTGTGCTTCCTTCCATCAGCCACTGATCTGGGCGGTGACAACTGCTCTTGCAGGCAGCTCCCATACTCACTTCACTCTCCCCACAGTCATTTCTCTTCCTTCCTAACACCCTTTCCATTCCCTGGACAGCAGGACCCTTATGTCAAAAAAGAGGTGGTGAGAATTTGAATATGCACAGAGGAAAGATCTGAGTTCTCACAGGCCTGGGGTTGATAAGCTTAGATTCACAATCGCCCAGCTTTGTCCTCCTGCACATCTGCAAAGGCCCTAGCCCATACCACATCTGGAGCCAATGTGGTCTTCAGAGCTTTCTGGAATTCTAAATTCTTTATCTAGAACTCCAGGAAGTTTGAGGAGGTTGATAAGGATGGGTGGAGAGGAGGCCAAGCAGAGATTCCAAAAGTGGAAAAGGATGCCTTCTCTCGTGGGCCTCAGTTTCATCATCTGTAAAATGGGCATAAGGATAGTAATTCACCTTGTAGGAGTATTATAGGATTCATAATAATATGTATAAAGCACTTAGAACAGTGCCTGGCGTGTTGTAAGAGACACGTGTTTGTGCTGTTTTTATGCTGCTGCTGTTAATTCAGAACACACAGGTGTTCTTGTCCAGCATCAGTAACAATTCCAAATTCAACAACTCTGGTCCCTTTACTGCTCCCTGGGTACAAGGGCTGTGGTCAGCTTTATGGCCCCAAGGCCATTCCTGCAAGGAAGAGTGGAGAGGAATTGGATTTCTTCGCCTCAAGGTATGGCATCTGGGGTGAACTCCGGTCTTTTCCCAAGCAGACTGTTTACAGCTCTGCTTTCTAGCTTAATAGGTACTGGCCGGAGCCGTGGCATCCTGCTAAAGCTACAAATAGCCCCTTGAGCCCTGAGGATAATGATATGGTTCTTAGAAAAGAGCAGAGAGGAGAAGAGAAGCAGACAGTCTTCGTCTGGTCACAGAGTTTCTGGCTTTGAGTGTGTGGAGACTTTCCCGGAGGGGACGGGTGGGAGGGAGAGAGGAAATAGACAGCTCTGGTTTGTGAAAACAAAAGCATTCAGTCAGGACAGGCTTGATGAGGGGACTGGTCTGGAAAAGAGAGAAGCAGCTCTAATTTGTGGTGACCACTGTTACATCATTCACCTGCAATGATGGGGGATGGATTTATTTATAGTTCAACTGGGTGGAAACTAGCATCTTTCTTCATTCAGACTAAGAACCCATGCTGGGATTTGCCTTATTTTTTTATCTGACCTTTGAACACTTCCTTTATGTTAGAACAAGCCTCCTTGATTAAATTGAAAAAGGATTTAAGGTTGACAGCCCGAGCCCTGAAATTTCTGTGTGAGAATTCTGAGTTCAAGAAGGCTTATCTCTCTCCAGAATTTTCCTGTTGTGGCTGACTGCCTGGCTGGTTCCTGCAGACTTTGGCTAATGTGGTCTCAAATTCTGCTGATTCTGCAGGAAAAAATCTTCCCACCAAAATTTCACAGATCATGTGATTATTTAAGGAGCACCTTTTCTTCCTGATTTTTCTACCCTTTACTTATTGAAATATTCTCTTGTTTACTGGCTCTTTCAGCAAGACGGGCAGTATATTGAATTTCTAGGAAGAAAGGCCTATTTTACCATTACTCATCATTTTAAAAATTCTGTGGTAGATGAGGCACTTTACCTTTGGCGAATATTTTATGTTTGTTTGGGGTTTTTTTGTTTTTTGTTTTTTGGCCACACTGCATGGAATGCGGGATCTTATTTCCCCGACCAGTGATCGAACCTGAGACCCTGGCAGTGGAAGTGCGCAGTTTTAACCCCTGGACCACCAGGGAAGTCCCATGAATATTTCATAGCACTTCCTTAATGATAAAATCACCCTTATACTGTCAAAGCTCCTCCTTTCTCCTGGACTTTTCCTTCCCTCTTATTCCCCGCTGAACCACAAGAATGACATTTCTCATCTAGGAATACTTTGATTTCACACTCGTAGCTCCTAGAACTTAGTTCTATCTGCATCAACTTTTAGCTACTGCAATTACTATGCATTATAGAGCCTGGTTGCAGTATCACACTCCACCAGTAGATGTCTCCACCTAACACCTAAATGGTCTATGTAGCCTAGTTTGAGACTCCTAGTAGATCAAATGAATGGTGTTTTGATAAGTTGAGTGCTCTGGATGAAATGAAGGCAACCTGCCCTGGAACAACTGGTCCTGAAAAGGCAACTCCATGCACTCTTTTCTGAGCCACTTAATGGCAGGAAGCTAGTCTAAAAGCTACTGTTGGACTTACCTGGTGGCTCAGTGGTTAAGACTCCGCCCTCCCAATGCCCGTGGCCTGGGTTCAATCCCTGGTCAGGGAACTAGATCCCACATGCATGCCGCAACTAAGAGTTCGCATGCCACAGCTATGGAGCCAGCAAGCTGCAACTAAGGAGCCCGCGAGCCACAACTAAGGAGGCCGCCTGCCACAGCTAAGACCTGGCTCAACAAAATAAATAAATATTTAAAAAACAAAAAACAGTGCTAACGCATTCTTATAAAAAGTAAATAAATAGAAATAAAAGCTACTGTCATAGAAGAACAGGGAGGATATGTAAGGCTCAGACCTGGCCCCTGAGCAAATCTTGGAAGAAGTGCCAGCCCTGAGCCCTGCGCCAGCACCTGATGTGCTCGTGCCAGCCTAGAGTCCTCAGCCCTGTTCCCTGCCCTCCTCATTTCCTGGCTTCATGTCTTGTTCGCAGTGAGTCCCCCAGTTCCCTGATCCTGTCTCTGCTCATAGTTAACCCAAATCAGTTGGCAGCCTGGTGAGGAGAGCTGGTGCAGAAATGAATAGATCAGCCCACTGATCAGAATCCTGGAAATTGTATATGGTACAACTGGGCCACCATCAGTTGTTAAAACTGGATAGCAACAGTTGAACTTTTTGGAGTAACCTGGCTTAAGTGGACCTTGACTTATCCAAAGTCTCTGTCCCTTCTTACAGGCAAGAGGTGGTCTTTGGTTGCTCGTAAGATAGACAGGTGCCTGCCAGTAACTCAGCACTATGTGTTCTCAGGAGGAGGCCTGAGCAGTGTAGGGCAGGAAGGGTTTCTAGATGTCTCCACTCATCCTTTGTTCATTCACGCCACAAATGTTCATTGACCCTCTGTGCTGAGTGAACAAGACAGACACAGTTATTCATTCAGTGCTTATTAAGCACCTACTGTGTGCCTGACAGTGTTCTAGGTCCCCGGGAAATGCAAAAGGTGTTCCCACCATGGGAACACAATGTGGGAAGTAACCTCACAGTCTGGTAGAAAAGACAGATACGTAAACAAAATTAAATGTTGTAAGTGCTGTGAGAGAAGGCATTTGAGTGTCTCCCTGAGGTTGGAAGTCATTTAAAGCTGTTTTAAAATATTCATTCTTTCATTCAAATATTTATTGAGCCTTTGTAGATGCCATTCATGTTCTAGTCCAGGGGTTGGCAAATGTTTTTTTCTCTAAAGGTCCAGATAGTAAATATTTTAGGCTTTGCAAGCCCCATGCAGACTCTGTCACTAATAATAATTTTTTGTTTCCTCTTCCTTTCATTCTCCTTCTTATTCTTTACAAATCTTTAAAAGTATAAAAACACATTCTTAGCTCCCCTTTGCACAAAAATGGACCATTTTTGTGACTTCTGAGCAAGCTCTCTGGCTGCAGTATGAAGGACGGACTGGAGGGGCAGGATGGAGACCAATCACGGGGTGTCCCGCCTGCACACCCCTGGCCACAAGAAGCCTTTCTCAGACCCTGGTGAAAAGGATGTGGCATAGTGAGGATGTGGGTGAAGTGAGGTGATGGAGTGCTAGCAACAAGGTCCTCCCACATCAGACCCATGGCTCTGCAGGAGGGAATCCTGACGGCTGCCACTAGGGGCAGCAGAGATTCCCCACGCGTGAACACAGACACCTCCTGGCCCCTCCAGCCCACTGCCCGCCTGCCTGGGAGACCTGGGCTGTCTCTGACCACTAACCCGGGCAGCAGGCTCAGCTTCCAGCCTGACTGTGAAGTGGGTGCTTCTCTCCACTCTCCAGTTCTTTGTCTCCAGTTGAGGCGCACGGAAGCATGGCTACCTGGATGCAGCCCACGTGAGGTTAAAACAGAAGGGCAGATGCATTCCTGGGGTTCTGAGCCCTGAGGCAGATTATATTCTGGGATAAAAACTGTGGACCCCAGTCTCTACCTATTGCATTCACTGGGGAATGTGTCCCCAGCTCACAATGACCAGGACAAGTAGCCAGGAGCCTCCAGCAAGCCAGCGTCTGCCTTCACTCATTCACATAAGAGTACCTCTTAGAAGCACGGTGCCGGGGGGTAAAGGAGACAGTCAAGAGATCACTGTCTAGAAGGACAGCAGAAAGGCGGCAGTGACCAGCCTGCTTTGGGGCCACTGAAAGATGTAGCCGGGCTGTCTTGGGCTCTCTGTCATGCTTGAGGCTGGAAGGAGATCAGCTCTGCGGCCTGACCTGGGTGGGAGGTGACAGAGGAGGAGCAAGCTGGCAGTAGTGAAGATAACCCTGAGAGCTGCGAAGACATAAGACTTGGGGGGGCGGTCATGGGGACCTGTGGGGTAGGAGAGCGAGATCTCAGACTACCCTTCCTTCCTACCTTCTTTCCTCACCTACTGCCACCAGGTAGGTGGACCTGGCTCAGATCTGGCTTTGTCACCAGGTAGTGGTGAGATCTAAGGCAAGTCACCTGATATGTCTGAGCCTCTGTTTTCTTGTCTATAAAATGGTGGTAGGAATACTCACCTTCCAGGGCAGTTGTGTCAAGGTAGTTTATGTACAGCGTATAGCCTGTGATAGGCATTCATGTGGGGCTCCTTCCCTCCCAATCTACTTCTGAACCTTCATCCCACATCTTCCGTCTCTTTTTTCTCCTCTCTTTCTCTCTTCTCATGCTTTCTCCACCCAGGGTGCAAGGTGCAAGGTTTCCCTGGGGCCCTCCCATTTCCCTCCGTTACCCTCAGCCTGGGAGGGTGAATGGCCAGAACATGGTCACGGAGCCAAGAAGCGGTGACCCTCCTTCACCCGGCTGCAACGCCCTGCTCGGATTTTCCGCATCAGAAATGGAGAACGCGTGGTTCTAACAGAGCGCTTTTGTGCCGCTTCTAGATGCCAGAGGCTGGGGTGAAACGGCGTGCTGGTAAATACTTCACGACCAGCTCTCTGATGGGAAGCCCTACTTTGTGGCATTTGCCATTTTCCATGGTGTAAATACTCCCACCATGGCCAATTTCAATAAGATACTACCCAACAGAGTTGGGAACAGATGCACAAAATCGGCTCATTATGGGTGTATTTGGACACAGAAATGTACAAATGGATATTTCAGTGGTTTATGGAAACAACTGAAGGGAATCCTTTGAATCAGGACTCTCAGGAAACCAGGGCCCAGTGACCACAAAAGCCAGACTGCCTTCCCATCACATTCAGCCTGCTGCTCTAAAAGTGCTGCCCCTTCTCTCTGGAGTGTCTGAACTCAGATGTCCCTTTACATCATCCATATTCTGTGATATCTTTTCATTTACTTGTCAGATATGTCTTAGTATTTAACCAGGGCCACACAGTGCTACATCCTGTGGAAATGGCCTCCCCAGGGGCTCCTCTCCCCAACAGCCCCTGCCCTGGTCCAAAGCTACCATCATCTCTTGTCTGCAAACACCATGTCCTCCATCTGGTCTCCTGCTTTTTTTCTTGCCAGGCTGTAATCCAGTCTCCATGTGGCAGCCAGAACTGTCTTTTTAAAGATGTAAATCTTGTCATTCCCTTCTTAAAGCCCTTCAGTGGCTTTCTACTTCAGGGTTTCAAAAAATCCGAACTTCTTGCCCTTGGCCCAGCATGTCCTGCCTGCTCTGACCCATGCCTGCCAGGGTGATCTCATACAGGACCGCCCTCTGCTCACTCCTGGACTTCAGCCACCCCCTGCCAGTTCCTAGAAGGCTCCAGGCCCTTTCCCATCCCACAGTCTGCCTGCACCACTCTGTCCCCATTCTCCTCATGCCTCCTTGCCTCAGAGGTCTTTGCTTTATGTCACCTCCCTAGAGGGGTCTTGCTGACCACTCCATTTAATGTAGCATCCTTTTCCCACTCATTCTTTGTCTGGCATCCTGGTTGTTTGCAGCAATGCATCAATCAAAAACTAGTATTACCCTGTATACTTAGCGATCATATATACTTGTGTACGTGTCTCTCTCCCCAGCTAGACTGAGCTATTTGAGGCTAGGAGTCATGTCTGTTTCATTCACTTTAGTATGCCCAGCACCTAATAGAGTGTTTGGAACATCACTGGTGACTTCGTGAATTAATAGATGAGTGATTTTGGATGGATGGATGGCAATGGATAGCTAGACAGATGGATGTTTGGTTGGATGAATGACGAATGGATGTTTAGCTGGGTGGACAATGATGGGTGAATAGTGGCAGATGGATGAATGGATGGATAGATATGGATGAATGAACTTTCCCACTACGCTGTCAGCTTCTTCAGGGCAAGTACCACATCAACTCTGAATCCTTAGTGCCTAGCACAGTGCCTGCACAAGGACAGGCACTTGGTAAATTTTAGTGGTTGAGTGAGCAAATGAATGAAAGAATAAATGGATGAGGTGACCCTGAGACAAGACCTGTCACAGCTTCTTTCTCTATTTGGAAGGTCCTCCTGACCCACCCTACTCCCTGGCTCCTGTTCCTTCACACATGGGTTGTGTGATGGCATTTTGTATCCCCAGGGGGCGACCTGACCTCGGTGGACCCCATGGTCCTGGAGCAGTATGTAGTGGTGGCAGACTATCAGAAGCAGGAGAGCTCGGAGATCAGCCTCAGCGTGGGGCAAGTGGTAGACATCATCGAGAAGAACGAGTCAGGTAGGAGACCTAGACCACCTCCCTTCCACCCTGCACTGTCACCAAGCCTCTGGGACAGGAAACGCTTGGGAGTGCAAAAGCTGCAATGGCCAATCCAGGCTGCTCAGTTTCCACGGATCTGGTTGATGGCCTCCTAGAAAGCTGGCCTTGTTTGATCACAGTGCTTGAGTACTCCACTTGGTCACAGCTCACCAGCATCCTGTTGGGTCAGGTGATATCGACTTGTCCTGAGGTTCACATTTTATGAACATTCCTTCTGGTTTCAGAGTACTTGGAGACACGGAGTCCAGCATTCCACTGGAAATTTGCTCTGTTGATTTGCCTTTGGCTACCATGGGAGTCCTCATGAAAGTTCTGTCAGCTGTAGGCTCTGGTGGGATGGACACACTGCCTCAGCCCACCTGCCGTCACAGGGACCACTGGTCACATACAGGCAGACCTCAGAGATATTGTGGGTTTGGTTCCAGACCACTGCAATAAAGCGAGTCACATGAATTTTTTGGTTTCCCAGTGCAAAAAAAAGTTACATTTATACTTACTGTAGCCTATTCAGTGTACAGTAGTTTTATGTCAAAAAAACGATATACATACCTTAATTTAAAAATACTTTATTGCTAAAACATGCTAACCGTCATCTGAGCCTCCAGCAAGTCATAATCTTTTTGCGATAGTAACATCAAAGATCACTGATCACAGATCACATAACAAACATAATAAGAATGAAAAAGTTTGAAATATCAGGAGAATTACTGAAATGTGACACAGAGACATGAAGTGAGCAAATGCTATAGGAAAAATGACACCAATAGACTTGCTTGATGCAGGGTTGCCGCAAACCTCCAATCTGTAAAAAACACATTATCCATGAAGTGCAATAAAGCAAAGCACAGTAAAACGAGGTCTGCCTGTACACTGGCCGGGACAGAATGTGATGTGACTGAGACACAGCCTGGGTTTCCACCTGAACTCCGCATTTCACAGCCATCCAGGTCACTTCGTTGAGGAGGCTGCTTCAAGGGTTAAATGAGGCAGTACACAGAGAGTGCCTAAGCCTGTGTTTGGCACATAGGTACTCAAAAATGTGTTTCCTTCCCTTTTGCCTTCTTTAGCCGCAATAGGGCATTGGTACCACTGAAGACAGAGAGCAAGGAGCAGGGGATGAGTGGATCCTCTCCAGGAAAAAGTGGCATTAAACCCCCACTGGCTTTGTTGTAGCTAAAATGTGACATTGACTAGCAATATTAGTGGGCCAATCTCTGTGCTACCCCAGTGGCTAGTTAAGGTCCAACAAACAGGGAAAGACTGTTTCCGGCAGCCTCTGGAGCATGTTCCCATTAGTCAGGAGATGAGCATTAGCCAACCAAAACTTCCTGATTACACAGTACAGCAGTTGTTATCCCTGCTTCACAGCTGAAGACAACAAGACTCCAAGTGACTCAGTCACTCACCCCAGATCTTGTGACAGGTTGCCGAGCTGGAGTTCCTAACCAATTCCAGCTGGCCCTGAGGCCATGTGACGTTCTTATTCCTAGAAATGAGTACAGGCAGTCGGTGGGTATGACTGGGATGCTCCGTGGGGATGGAAGAAGGGAGCACCCACCCACCCACCCCCACCCCGCTTTGCTTTGCCTTGCCAACTTGAGTGACGTCAGGAAGGACACGTTGCTGGGAGAAGGGGAGGAGGCAGGATGGGGTGGGGGCCCAGCCTGGTGTGTCCAGAGGACAGCAGGGAAAAGGCTTATGTCCAGATCTTCAAGTGGCCAACAAACTCAACATTTGTTTTCAATTACCTTTTACTTACCCAAGTAATATATGGATACGTTCTTCTTGAAACATTAATGATAAAGTTAAAATCTATTTTTTTCCGCTAGCTTCAGGCCTAGTCCCCTTTCCAAACCCAGACTGCCCTTCTATCAGTTTGGGGTGAATGCTTCTTGATAACTGTATACACACATGTGTATAAATGTGTGTACAGGGATAGGACTTCCCTGGTGGCGCAGCGGTTAAGAATCCGCCTGCCAATGCAGGGGACACGGGTTCGAGCCCTGGTCTGGGAAGATCCCACATGCCGCGGAGCAACTAAGCCCTTGCGCCACAACTACTGAGCCCACGTGCTGCAACTACTGAAGCCCGCACACCTAGAGCCCGTGCTCTGCAACCAGAGAAGCCACCGCAATGAGAAGCCCGCGCACCGCAACAAAGAGTAGACCCCGCTCGTCGCAACTAGAGAAAGCCCGTGCGCAGCAACGAAGACCCAGCGCGTCCATAAATAAAGAAATAAATAAATTTATTTATTTTTTAAAAAACTCTATACAGGTATATATGTATGTACAGTGTACACATTTGTACACGTGTGTATACATATATGTGCACATGCGTAATATATACAACTGTATGTATACACATACATACACATCGTATTTCATGCGTCTATATATAATTTTGTAGGTTTTTTAAGCCCAGTGGTGTATCATTCTATACATTTTGACCTGCAACATGCTTCTTCTTAAGTCAACATTTAGCTCTTATTCTCTTAACGTCTGCATACTATTTGAAAATATGGCATACTATGAGCCATATCTTCCTTTAGTATGAACAGTATACCTGTGTGCACATTGGTGAGTGTTTCTTTAGGTGAGATACGCAGAAGACTGCTGGACCATAAGATATGCATACTTTAAATGTTAAGATACAGCCAAATGACCTGCTTCCAAACTGTGGCCATACCAGTTTACTCTCCCTCCAGCAATGCATGAGGCATTTGTGCCAGTAGTTAAGAGCTGAGGCTGTGAAGCCAGATGGCCTGGGTCGAATCGCGGCTCTGCCACTTTCTTTGTGACCTTGGTCAAGTCACTGCCCCTCTCTGAGCTTGGCTTCTCCATCTGTAAAATGGGGCAGTAATAGAATGCAGCTCACAGGCTGCTGTGAGGACTCAGCCAGTCAGTAGTAGATGTGAAGCACTGAGACAGTCTGGCGCATCTTTGCTGTCATTGCTGTTGTGACACTTTCCTTAACCCCGCGCGGATACCTACAAATAGGAGTCCTTAGGAAGGCATATATGGCATATTTCTGATTTCTGGTTTTCCGCAGGTTTATCAACCCCATTCATTCACACAGACACACAGACACACAGACACACACACACACACACACACACACACACACACACACACACACACACACACACACACACACACACACACACACACACACACACACACACTTCCCAGCCACCAAAACGTGTATTTTAAAACGTGCACCCAGTCAAGTAAAGCAGAAGGTGGCTTCTACCTCAGGGAGCTCAAAAGCAAAGTCCTCCCTGTAAGACCGGGAAGCTAGTCCAGAGTCTGCCCCTTCCTTCTCTTCTCCTTTGGGGTCTCCGGGGCCTGGAGGTTTGTGATCTTGGGTAGCAGATCCTATTTTTCCGTTTATGCTATGCAGAGCCAGCTGGGCCCTGTATTAACTTCCTGTGGCTGCTATAACGAGTTACCACAAATTCAGTGACTTACACCAACACAAATTTATCATCATATGGTTCTAGAGGTTAGAAGCCCAAAATGGGCCCCAGTGGACGAAAAAAAAGGCACTGCTGGGGCTGTGTTCCCTTCTGCAGGCCTGGGTGGCATCTGCTTCTTTTCCATTCTCGAGAGACCAGCCACATCCCGTGGCTCGTGACCCCTTCCTCCACCTTCAGAACCAGCAGTGTTGCCCCCCTCTGTACCTTTCTTCCTTAGCCACATCTCCCCCTGACCCTTCTTCTGCCTGCCTTGTGATTAAACTACGCCCACCCAGATAAGCCACATAACCTCCTATCTGGGAGTTCAGCTGATTAGCAACCTTAATCCCATTTGCGACCTTAATTTGAACTCTATGCCATGTGCATTGTTATTCTGCCTACCACAGGCTCCATGAGAGCCCTTTCTCTAAAATGGGAGGGCCTGAGTCTCAGTGAACAGCCTCTCAAACTGTTATATCTGCAGTCAGATTTACCTTGACATGAGCAGATGCAAAATCAGTGTCTCAGATAAGTTATTAGGGCAGTGGTTTCAGTATCAGAGAGCCCTGGGTGCAAGTCGCAGCTCGGCTGTAAGCCGTGTGAACTTGCACGAGCCCTGCCTCTTGGAGCCTCAGTTTCCTCGTCTGTGCAGTAGGGATGATAATGTGAAGATGATATAAGATAATGCAAGTGAAATGATTAGTGCCTTGCACACCTTAGCGAAGGGAGCTACGTTCTTTACTCTCATCCTTTAGGACAACCTTTCTCCCCACCCCCACCCCCGACTCCCCTCCACAGTCCCGTCCCAGGCTCAAGAGCACGTTTCCTGTTAGCCTGTCTCTAGCAGTTAGCAGTCAGCTAACATGGGTAGTTGTGTTCTACTAATAAAATGGTGACTTTTGAGCCTTACGCTGAGCGTTGGCTCCTGTAGCGGCTGAATCGAATACTATATTCTGACGCCCGGCCCTCACACCTGACCCAACTAATATCAGTCTGCACTCTCATTTTCCCAGGTTGGTGGTTCGTCAGCACCACTGAAGAGCAAGGCTGGGTCCCCGCAACCTGCCTCGAAGGACAGGATGGTGCACAGGA